ACTTCGACTCTGCATCCCTCATGTGGTCTCGTGCCACTGCATCGCCCACAGGTGGGTGCCTCTGCATCCCATATCCAACATCTGCCGCTGTTTTACCAACTGACTGCTTGACGCCATGTCCGTGGCTTTTTCTTTAAAGGGAGGCACTTGCCGCGAAAGATTCTGCAGAAGCGCTCCCAGAGCTCGCCATGGTTGACGCTCTCATCCGTGCTTTGGCGGAGCATCTCGGCCGCAGCAGCACCTCGAACGCTGCATTCAAGGAGCTCCAGGCCGTCTTCACCCGGACGAACCTGGAAATGCAAGGGATCCACGCCGTACGGTGGCTAAGCCGCAGTGACGCGATAGCCCGGTTCGTGAAGGTGCTGCCGGCGGTGATTGTCCTTCTGGAGCAGCTGGATTCAACCTGTTACCACATGGTCACCAGCCTGAAGTTCCACTTCTTTGTGTACTTCCTGGCGGATGTACACGTAGAGCTGAACTCGCTCAACATGCTCTTCCAGAGGCGCGAGGTACCGTTGTCTGCTTTGTAGCACTATTCACTTGATAGGTGTTTGATGCTCACGGATGTGTTTCACTACTGTGCCCTCCCTGATCCAAAACCCGACCACAGGTTGACTTGACGGGGGTCCACTCCCAGCTGAGGCGTACAGAAGTCTTCATCAGAGAGCCCTACATCGACTGTGGGCAACAGTTCGGTGCAGGGGCGAGCACTCTACTGTCGCCGTTCCTTGCTCGCCACAGTGCACCATGCAGCAGGGAAGTGACTGTGCAGGGAGTGGACGCCGACGGGGAGGCAAGGGAGCATGAGTTCACCCTGCACGAGGAGGCGATTCCCGGGTACTTGGCGAGCGCTGGTGACATCCAGTCCTGCATTCGAACGTGTCGCTCGTTTGCGACTGAGCTGCTTTACAACCTCGACTTTCGGCTTGGCGACCTGACAAATCTCAACGCCGCAAAGCTCTTCATGCCAAGAACCTTGCCGCGTGGGAAAGAGGCGAGAGACGCGGAGTGCAAAGAACACATGGAGAAGCTGGCGGTGATGTTCCATGCTCGCGTCAGAGATGATATACTGCCTGGTGAGATAACTGTTTTGTTCGCCCACAAACATCGCTGTGTATCTTGTACCCCTTAGAAGCGCGATTGTTGATGCTGCACTTGTATGTTCCCTTATCATCCCATCATACAGGTGTGAACAAGCGCGAAGTGCGGAAGGAGATGCGCACGTTTTTGTCTGTGCTGTCCGGGGCGCCAAAGGAGGAGCAACCCTTCCATGCGGGGTTACGGGCGATCCTGTCAACTGCGGACTGGCAGCGGACATATCCGAACCTGGTGCGGCTGTGGGCGGCTGTGGCAGTGTTGCCGCTCAGCACGGTGGAGTGCGAGCGCGGATTCTCGCGCCAGAATGTCATCAAGAGCTGGCAGCGGACCAGCTTGTGCGATGCGAAGCTGGGCGACCTCATGACGCTGAGTCTACTGGAGTACGACATAGAGTGGAGTGAAGTTGTGGCACTGTGGCGCAGCACCAAAAAGAGGCGACCCACCAAGCGCAAGGCAGCCACGGTGAATGTATCGAAGAGGAGTGCCACAGGGTTCCGGGGGTCACTTGCAGAGAAGCGTGACCACCACGCAGAGGATGGGGGGGATGCAGACAGTGGGGGGGACAATGATAATGATGCTTTTCAAGATTTTGTGGAGGAGGAGGAGGAGGACGATGAATGTTGAAATGCATGTCTATTAAAAAAGTTTCCAAAGTGGCTCTTAATTAGAACAAATACAGCCTTTACCGTCGTGCACAGGATAAAATGAAATGTAGCACTGACGGGTCAGGATAATGTCATTTGTAGCACTGACCCTACAGCAAACCCATCCTTGCACAGTCCTGACATTTCAGGACAAAATAGGGTTTCTTAAAAACTGCCCTGAGTCCACAGGGTACCCTCAAACGAATCTGAGGCCCTGTTGGCACTGCCAGATGAAAATACCATCAGGTGAAAATACCACCAGGTGCATTTTCTACCTGCCCAGGAGTAGTTGCGCAGGTGCTCGCAACAGACAGCTGCACATACTCGTTTGTGCAATGTCGTCACTTCCCTCCATTTCGGTTCAGTGTTGAACAGTGCATACCGAAGTGCACTATTGGAGTGTACTCGGTGAATACCGAAGCTCCGGTATGCGGTATGCGAAACCTCGCTACATCGCATAGGGCTGCTACACGCAAAACCAGGCGCGTGCAGGGCCTTACGTTAACACAACGGACCCAGATGTGAGAGTCATGGGCAGGGTCAGGAGACAGAGGAGGAGACAGCAGCGAACCAGGTGGAAGAGGAGCCAAGGACAAGACCGGGGGAGGAAACATAGGACCGAAGACTAGGAGAGACCGTGAAGGGATGCAGACGATCAATCAGTCGATGAGTAAGAAAGTCCAAGAAGGCGAGGCGCAGACACATGCGTCAATGTCGGCTGCCACGGCGGATATTTGTCATTTTTTATTGCACTCATATGGTGCTTGACCTGGTACATCATAGATAAATTGACAAGAGAGTCAAAATTTCGAGCTGAATATGATTGAATATGCATATTTGAAAATACGTACACCGAATGACTAAGCTCCTTCTAAAACGACAAACTGTATCGAGCTCTTTTGCGAACTTGTATTTTATGCGTGCACTGGCGCGTACAATGTTACGCCGAACTGCACATTGGGCGAGTACTTGCAAATGCAGAAATGACGAAATAAAATAAACATACGAACACACCATGCATGCCATGCATTCGCTTACGCATACTTGTACAAACAGATGACAGTGTGTCGTTCAACTTGAATTTGCACCCAAGATTGTTGAGGGTGTCCTAAGAACCAATCTGGAGCCTAGATGAAACCATGTATAGTTCCACAACCAACCAAGTGGTGAAGTGGATGGTGTTTTTGTACACCATGTATTTTGGCTAAAATACAGTTTCAGCTGGTTCATGTACTACCACCCTATCGGGCCTGCCACTGAAGTGTCGTGAACAAGCCCTCAAATAATTGCCATGCTTTGGAGCTGTCACGCTGGTTTGGCTGTGCTCGAGTGTGGTTGGTTGGTGGGGTTTTGTAGTCCCTATCCGCGTGTGGACTAGCATTGACGCGGTGTGTCACATGGAAAACACGTCGAATCCCTGCTGGATCTCCATTCTCAAGATCAGTGATTGGTTGCTTCGTTCCGTGATTTGCGATTCATGACGCCACCTCTGCATATTTCGTTTCACCCAAACCGCATACTGACCACCACCACCTAACCTGCATGGCTGGACCTCGAACCTAGACAGACATGGTCCTTGCCTGACGCTCTCGCAATTCGCGGTCCCTGCATGTCTGAGGTACACGCAAACCTTGAACTTGCCAGCCTGAGGTTCGCCTGTACCGAGCCTGCTAACCTAACCTTCTGACAAGTTTCATCCAGACTCCTCCCAATAACTGAGCCCAGCCCAGACCGAGGCAACGGTACGTATGGAACCCAGCACCGTTGTTTTCGAGAGTAGAGTATCAGGGCTGGCTGGTGTGGTTTGGCGTCCTGCTGGTGTAACGCAGACCACAGCAAGCGTGTCGGAGAGCAGGAAAGCATGCACCTCTCAAACTCCTCCCGCAGGCATAAACTGATAAAAAGGGGCTTGTCCTAGAAGTTAGCGCATTACCTGCATAGCAACAGATTATTATTGTTTGCCTCACGCAAATTCATTTCTTTCGTTCCTGGTATTACTTGCCTGGTAGAGCTGTCTCATCGCATTCGCGCCAGTCACTTTTATTTGACATCTCAGTTACACGCGTTCAGCACCATGGCAGTAAGTTCTCCCACGTCCATGCCGTCCTTGCTGAATCCCGATGCTCCTAATTTCGTCCCAGCTGCGTTTAGAAACACCGAGGATTTCAGTCAAGAATGGTGGGATAAGGTGCAAAACTCCCCCGCGTTTAGAGACTACTGGCTTCGCGAACGCTTCGCTACTTTGGAAGCTGAAGTAACGGAGTCAGGCAACCGCAACGAGGAGGAGGAGTTGGTAGACGAGCAATTATTGGAAGACATGGTCGACGAAGAGTTGCAAGAAGAGCTCTACGTACTGGACGTAGACGAGGATTTCGACGAGATTCTGCAAGATTCTTCTGCCGAGCAGTTTCAAGAGTAGTTAGGTAAGCGTCATGTATACACAATGGGCCCGTTTCTTCCTGCTTTCCTCGATTATTATACTTCGTGTTTTCTTACTTCTCACACTTGTTATTTCCGTTCATGGAGATGTCAGGCATTCGTAAGGAGCTTCCGGAGCGGTCGGGCGAGCCATGCGGCTTGACACAAGAGGTTACTAACAAGGTTAATAAGTCGTGGAAGCACGACCGCGTCAAGGAGATAACCGTTTCTAGAACTGTCGCCAAGCCTAAGCAGCAGCGGGCCCGGGTCATACAGCAGCCTAGGGCTTAGATTACTCGAAGAAAATGATATTCCTGTGGTGCCTCCATGTAAATGTTTGCTTCGGTTAGCTAGCTTAGCATATACATGGGCGCTCCTAAACGGGTAGACGATCTCTGGGTTGTAATGTCCATGAATGTAAATTGCACTTTCATGACTTTCCGGTCTTGGGCTGGGAATGCATCCGTGCATTTCCTACCTAAATTCTCCTGTTGCCCTAGCCCCCGTGGCCTCCATACCAGGTGATAAAACGGCCTGTTGACGGAACGTGCCTTCAGCTTTCCGACCAAATCTCATTTACCGGTACCAGCTGAACACAAGGACCAATTGCACTATAATACTAGCATGTACACTGTACCTTGCGTTCTCAATTCCCCACATCCACCTCAGACTAGTAGCTAAAAAAAAAAAGCAGTCTCCCTTCCCCCAATTCTGGTAGCATCCTCCAGAACAAGTTTTCTGACAAATGCTGGCACAACAAACCCAAAAATGCACATAATATCCGTGGCGGAAATCTCCTATTGCCATTGCATCCTCTCCTCTTCCTGTCTCCCGTTTTTCCTACTGACTCCCACCAATCCGGATCTTAGACTTGCTCGCGTCTTCCAGAAACAGATTCTCCGCCGTCTCACTGTGGTACACACACGACACCTCAGGTGACTCCCTCAGGTCGCCCACGAAGCCGAACGTGTTCATGTTGCGCTTGCAGTCGCGCACTTCATCCGACGACACGAGGCCCTTGGACTCCAGCACGTGCCAGTTGCTCTGCCGCAGCACACACCCTGGTTTCACCTCTGCCTGGGACACATACACGTTGAATCTGCAAAGGGGAGGGGTGGGAGAGGGGGTTAAGAGCAGGGGACACGAAAAGAAAGCTAGGCACGAGGCCCTTGGACTCCAGCACGTGCCAGTTGCTCTGCCGCAGCACACACCCTGGTTTCACCTCTGCCTGGGACACATACACGTTGAATCTGCAAAGGGGAGGGGTGGGAGAGGGGGTTAAGAGCAGGGGACAGGAAAAGAAAGGTAGGTAACGAAGGGGCACACACAGCACACACCCTGGTTTCACCTCTGCCTGGGACACATACACGTTGAAGCTGCAGGGGTGGGGTACGGGAGGGAAACAGATATTCAGGCGGGGTGGGAGGGAAGCGGGCAGGGAAAGAAGGGGCAGGAGGGCGAGAGGAGCGGGAGGAGAATGGGGGAGGGAGTGAGGGGGAAGGTGTTGATCGTGCACTTGCATGGCCTGATGACCCGAGGCCCTTGGGCTCGAGCACGTGCCAGTTGCTCTGCCGCAGCACACACCCCGGCTTCACCTCTGCTTGCAACACATGAACGTTGAAGCTGCAGGGGAGAAGGGGGGTGGGAGTAAGAGCAGGGAACAGGGGAACAAAGATGGGTAAGAAGGGGCACACTGAGCACACATCCTGGCTTCACCTGTGCTTGCGACACATGCACGTTGAAGCTGCAGGGGGAAGGGGGAGGGGGTAAGAGCAGGGGACAGGGGAAGAAAGGGGGTTCATGAAGGGGCACACGCAGCACACATCCTGGCTTCACCTGTGCTTGCGACACATGCACGTTGAAGCTGCAGGGGGAAGGGGGAGGGGGTAAGAGCAGGGGACAGGGGAAGAAAGGGGGTTCATGAAGGGGCACACGCTGCACACATCCTGGCTTCACCTGTGCTTGCGACACATACACGTTGAAGCTGCAGGGGGAAGGGGGAGGGGGTAAGAGCAGGGGACAGCGGAAGAAAGGGGGTTCATGAAGGGGCACACGCAGCACACATCCTGGCTTCACCTGTGCTTGCGACACATGCACGTTGAAGCTGCAGGGGGAAGGGGGAGGGGGTAAGAGCAGGGGACAGGGGAAGAAAGGGGGTTCATGAAGGGGCACACGCAGCACACATCCTGGCTTCACCTGTGCTTGCGACACATGCACGTTGAAGCTGCAGGGGGAAGGGGGAGGGGGTAAGAGCAGGGGACAGGGGAAGAAAGGGGGTTCATGAAGGGGCACACGCAGCACACACCCCAGCTTCACCTGTGCTTGCGACACATACACGTTGAAGCTGCAGGAGAATGGGTGAGGGGGGCGGGAGGGGGGCGGGGGGGGGGGGAGATTGACAGGCAGGGTGGGAGAGAAGCGGGCAGGGTAAGAGATGACACCAAAAAAAAAAAGAGAGAAACGAGAGGGAGAAAAAAAAGCAAGACACTCACGGATTGAAAGAAATGAACAACCGTTGGTCGAGCACCATGGCGCTCATGCCGTTGGCGAGGCAGATGGGCGGGCCGGTTACCTGGTTACCACCTGGTCAGGGCAAGGAGAAAACCGACTCACGGATTGAAGGAGATGAAGAGGCGCTGGTCGAGCACCATGGCGCTCATGCCGTTGGCGAGGCAGATGGGCGGGCCGGTTACCTGGTCACCACCTGGTCAGGGCAAGGAGAAAACCGACTCACGGATTGAAGGAGATGAAGAGGCGCTGGTCGAGCACCATGGCGCTCATGCCGTTGGCGAGGCAGATGTCCGGGTTGGGCGTCTGGCGGTCGATGACCTCCCGCGACGCCACGTTGCTGGGCTCCACGTTCAGCACCGTGTCCACCGACACGCCCGCGCCTATCCCCAGTAAGAACACCCCCGCTAACGCGAACTTGCTCACCGCCGCGAACGGATTCGACGACCGCGGGGGAGGAAGAGGGATTTGTGGCGGAGGAGGAGGGGGAGGAGGCGGGGAGCGCGGGGGAGGTGGGGAGGATTGGTGGGGTTGGGGGGGAGGCGACCGGGGAGTGGGCGGAATGCGGGGTAAAGGGAGCGGGGGAATGGCGGAACGGGGCGACGGTGGGTAAGATTTTGCGGCGTCGATACTACCTTCTGGGTCTTCGTCGCCTGTGTGGTAATTATAACGGTAACCGGATTTGCTACTTAGCGGGTCGATATCATAATCTAGTCCTTGACTGCTGCTAGTACCGCCAGTCGACAACCGCCATTCCCCCGATGACGAAACCCATTCCCCCGCATTTCCACGCTGTTGCTCTCTACCCCCCCGCCGGTATGTCTCTCCCAAAGGTTCTCTCTCTCCCAAAGGTTCTCCCCGTCCCCACGGGTCTCTCTCTCCCCGCGAATCTATCTCTCCGCTTCCCACCCCTTGCTCCTCCCCGCTCGGCCCTAAACTGGATGCGTTTGTCCTCGACGAAAACGCTGCAGCCACGTCATCATCGTCTGATGGGTCTTTTGCGGTTCTCCCGCTGCTCCCCCCGCTTGCGCGGACAGGCCCGCGGAGAAGCCGGGCGCGGAGTTGGGGGGCGCGCGGAACAGTCGCGGAGAGGGGGGCACGCGAAAGAGGAGAGACCGGACAGCGGCGGAGGCGGCTCGAGAGGCGGGAAGAGGCAGCCGTGCTGTGGTGGAGAGTGGCGCTAAAGCGGGAAACGCGGAGGGAGGGGGCGTGCGTGGTAGTCGCCATGAATGCGGGACGGGGAACTGCGAAGGACGAGAAGCATGGGTTGCGCGTGTGGATTATATCGAACCGAGACTGATAACGAAGAGAGCAGAGTCCAGATTCGAGAATGGGAGGTTGACGTGCAGTTCACGTCTGGATGGATTGTTTGTCCTGACTGCCAAGCCCCACTATCTGCAAAGCGAGTCAATATCGCAGCTGCGACACTGAGCGAGCTTCACTGCTACACTCGGTATTGATCTGCAACCAACGAAATTCTTTGGTCAATTTCCTCAATATATGGATGTGGAATCCAGCAGGTATAGCAGAAAACTGCAGCAATTTACTTAGGGAACAACAATGATCAGTAAAGTGCAGATTTGTTTTTTGCAAACACCTTAATCAAAGACTTCCATCACACTAAAAGCAGGATAAGTAATTTAAAACCCAGAAGTGCATTAAAACCGAAATGCAAAATAGTGAACCCGGGGTCAGCTTGAAAGGGGGCCTGCCGAGCGAAACAATTTTCTCTCGTTTGCACTGTTCATTTGGGAGCATTTTTGCAGATCGAACAGATCTGATTGGTTCTCGCCAAACCCAAAAAAAAGGAAACACAGCACGTCAGGCGTCGCACATCTGTTTGGGAAGGCGCACACCTCTAGCACCGCGATCGCCCACGCACGTCCTTGCGATTTTGGGCCCAGCTTGGGGTTCAAGTTGGGCCTGGGTGAACTACTAGTTCTTCCGATCATACATCTCTGTTTTTTAGTTATAAATAGCCTGCCTAGCCATAGAACCATCAACTTAGGCCGTTGTGGTTTCAATTTTGACGCACAGTGAAGCTGGCATGGTTGTGTAGTACTTTGTGCCGTTTCGAACGCACTCTCGCCGCCTTCCCATCGATTCTCGCTCGCCCTCCCGTTCCGATCATCCTCGCGCCGTCCGTTCCGTCCTTCGTCCCGTCGCCGTCCCGTCGCCTTCCCGTCACCGTCCCGTCGCCGTCCCGTCGCCTTCCCGTCGCCGTCCCGTCGCCCTCCCTCTCCGTTCGCCCTTCAACTCTCCGTTCGCCCTTACCCTCTCCGTTCGCCCCTCCCCTCTCCATTCTCCCTTCCCCTCTCCGTTCGCCCTTCCTCTCTCCGTCGCGCTTCCCCTCTCCGTTCGCCCTTCCCCTCTCCGTTCGCCCTTCCCTCTCCGTTCGCCCCTCCTCTCTCCGTTCGCCCCTCCCCTCTCCGTTCTCCCTTCCCCTCTCCGTTCGCCCCTCCCCTCTCCGTTCGCCCTTCCCCTCTCCGTTCGCCCTTCCCTCTCCGTTCGCCCCTCCCCTCTCCGTTCGCCCCTCCCTTCTCCGTTCTCCCTTCCCCTCTCCGTTCGCCCCTCCCCTCTCCGTTCGCCCTTCCCCTCTCCGTTCGCCCTTCCTCTCTCCGTCGCGCTTCCCCTCTCCGTTCGCCCTTCCCCTCTCCGTTCGCCCTTCCCCTCTCCGTTCGCCCTTCCCTCTCCGTTCGCCAGTCCCCTCTCCGTCGCGCTTCCCCTCTCCGTTCGCCCTTCCCCTCTCCGTTCGCCCTTCCTCTCTCCGTTCGCCCTTCCTCTCTCTGTGGCGCTTCCTCTCCCGTCGCCCCTCTTCTCTCCCGTCGCCCCTCTTCTCTCCCGTCGCCCCTCCTCTCTCCCGTCAACCTTCCTCTCTCTCCTTACTACGTCGCTCTCGCTGTTCTCGCTCGAAGTACTACCGTGCCTGATTAAATTGTTTCTTTAAGGTGGCATTGGGCACTGAGAGGGACGTGGGTTATGCGGCTCTCTCAGCCTTGGTGTTCAAACATTACTCACGCTCTCCCCGTCGCATCTCCCTCGCGCTCACGCTCTCCCCTCCCATCTCCCTCACGCTCACGCTCTCCCCGTCGCAGCTCCTCTCGCTGCCCCTCGCCCTCGCATTTGCTAGCGAGCCCCGCTGTTATTCGGCTATCTCGTCCGTCCCGTCGCCCTGCCATAGCCCTGTCGCCCTCACAATCACCCCTCCCTTCATCTCGCCCTCACGATATCCATCCAATTCCGTCGCAATCGATGCCTCTGCTGCACTTAGTCGTATTCTTCAGTGTATGTGTGTGCTTGGGATCTTGTCTGTGCTGTTGCTAGATGTGCATTTGATGAAGTCACAACTCGTCAAATGGTTGCACTGCCTTGCACGTCGCAGCTCTTTGCGCCAAATTCGCACTTCTGTTTGGCTGCCAATCAAAATTGAGAAAGAACTTTGTTCCTTGTTCACTCCGAAACTTGTCTGGAGCTGGAAAAAAAACACACGCACAGCAGTTCAACCTTCTACAACACTACAAAGAAACTAGGGTCTTCAAGTTGGACCCAACTAGAAGGGGGGGGTCACTATTTTAGCTGCTGGCTTTAACACTGTTGGAAACAATCGGTCCTAAGCGCTTCTGTCGTGTCGAAACACTAAGGCACAAGCGAAGCAAAGCATATCGAGGCACCAGCGAGTCAACCCTCGGAGGTTGAAGTAACCGTTGGAGGTTACGCGAAAGTCAAAGGTCAGCGACCTTTGACCTGACAAGTACAGCGCGACAGCAAGGACACACAACTGAATCGCAACAAAGCAGTTGCCCGAGTCGTCACTGTATCGAACCGCAACAGCAACAAGTAAAACAGTTATAACCGTATCCTTTCATATTCCTTGTACTCTTATATAATCTTGTATCTCTTTGTTTTAATCAACTTACTTTGCCCTCACATACTAGCGCAAGGTGGTTCACAACTCCTTAATTAACGCTTCCGCTACTACACCAACTCTACCCAGAGTTCACCCCTGCAAAGATCCTAAGGGCCTTTTCAGCCCAACATGGAATGAGAGCAATCAGGGGGAATTCAACTACTATACCGACAACATCAATCACCATGGCTACACAAAAGGAAAGGAGCAACTCCAACGGCTCCCAGGGCACTACTCCTACTCCACCTCCTGCCTCTAGCCTACAGACAGAGGAGGGCACGGCAACAAGACCCAGAGCAACATCTACCGAGACTCCCGCAAATCAACCTGCAGACTTCGACCAGAGCATGATGGAGAAGTTCTTCTCCTTCATGTCCTTCTACGAGCAACACCAGCAATCGGCACCTGCGCAGTCACACAATAGCAACAACAACGGAGCAACACCCATGAGTCTCGACGGCTCATCATATGCACGAGGAAATCAGCAACAGCAGCCCACCTTTGCTCCGTACGAGCGCGGGTCCATCAGTTTCATGCCACACCCACAGCCCTCACCTGGACAAGAAAAACCACTGGACGCATTACAAGTTCAGTCGCAGTTCGCACACGTTCGGAAGATGCAGACGTCAAGACCCTTTGATGGAAAGGACTTCTTCACCTGGTCGTTTGAGTTCGAGCTGATGATGGAAGGCGCGCAGATACTCGGGTTCTTCGACGGGTCTCTGCCATACCCAACAAACGGCACACAGTACGAGAAGCAGCAATACACCTATCAGTCAATGATGGCGTACACGATCCTACTGAGGAATATCACCCCGACTCAACAGCATAACATAAGGTCTTACCGAGGTTACGGCAACTCCGCGGAGCTCGCGTACAACCACCTGAAGAGCCTGTATCAAGCAACAGACAGCGTAAGCCAAAGTCGGTTAATGGCGCAACTGACAACGGTTGAAATGAAACCAGGGGAGAAAGGAATGGCGTATATCAGCCGATGTCGCGAGTTGCGCGACAAGCTCCTTCGATGCGGAGGATCGATCTCTGAAGACGCCTTCGTGACAGTCATCATCGGCGGCCTCGGTTCTCAATGGCACGCCACAAAGGCCATTCTCCGAGCTCACGGAAGAATCTCCGAAGCAGCGCTCTGCGCCGAAATCCACGCCGAGCAGCAAGACATGGATCTGCAAGAAGAACGACACAAAAAGAAAACATCAGCACCGGAATTCGCGTTCCACACTCAGCGACGCTACAACAACAACAACAACCGGCAGCAACAACCGAAGCTAGTACCTCCGTTCTGCCACATCTGCAAAACTTCAGGACACCCGCGCACGCACTGCCCGAATCGTCAACAGTCAACAACTCCACAGCGGCAACTTCGACCTTCAAGCAGCCAAATCGCCTCAACGCAAGCAAATCCCACGACTCAGATTCAAGCTTCAACGACCTCAACAGGACAACCTGCACAAGGAGCAAGAAACATCGCCAACTGCATGGCAAAGCTGAGTGACTCCTGCATCACCGAGTCACCGCCACACTACTCACCGGAAGAGCAACTCGACGAAACCACACCCCGCCGCGAGTCACTTCAGCCGAACCCGACATACGCCGCCATCGCCCAAAGCGAACCATCCGGAAGGGACACATGGTTCTTGGACAGTTGCTGCGGACAGCACATGTGCTCCTCGGGACGCTTCGTTCAACGAGAACACCAACTTCAACGCGAAGTTGTCATTACAGTCGCCAACAATCAGAACCTGCGAACACGACGACAAGGTGTAGTTCAACTTTAGTCAAGGGAAACAAACGTTGTACTGCAGATGTCAAAAGTACTAATCGCGGAGGGACTCGGCTACAACTTACTGAGCGTCAGTCAGCTAATGGCAAAGGGGATTCACCTCGAAACAGACAGCACCACCCAAGAATTCAAGAGGAGGACTCTACATCGGCAAGGCGGTCCTCAAGAACAACGTCTTCGTTCTTGACTTCGTTCCTGACCTTGGCACCGCCGACAGCGACGCCATCGTTAACTTCACCGACTGGACACACCCTCCAGACCTTGATCCAGACTTCAGTCCAGAAGGCTTCTGGTATTCACACACCATCCCTGAAGCAGAAAGAACAAGGGCGTTAGCAACAATTCAGACAACAGCAGCAGCAGAGACAACATCGGCAGCAACAGAGACAACGTCGGCAGCAGCAGAGACAACGTCGGCAGCAGCAGAGACAACATCGGCAGCAGCAGAGACAACGTCGGCAGCAGCAGAGACAACATCGGCAGCAGCAGAGACAACATCGGCAGTAGCAGAACCATCAACGG